TGTGATTCTGTAATATTGGTAGAGCACCTTAAGTGTAATATTAGATTTTTTAAAGTGAATTTTAATTTCAAGCATTTGGATGCTGTTTATAATCTTAACAAGAAGTTTCCCCTCAGAATAGTGTCAACTACTGAGGTTTTAAAGAATCACAAGTTCCAGGCTTAGTAATGGGCTCTTAAAAAGACCAATTAGACTCTAGAATGCAACTGGACTATTTTTAAAGCTTTGAAATACATTTTAACCTTTAGACCTGTTTCTGCAAAGATAACATCCTGACTTGCACAACTGAAAGGGTCACAAGCAGAAAATCCAAAGACAATGGCAAGTGATTAATAACTGCTACAGGTTCCAATGGAGGATGGGCACATGGTTTAATTGCTTGAGCCACTAAAAGAAAATACAATGCTATAATGATAAATATCAAATTATTGTGCTAAACTTACTGCACAACATAGCTAACCTGTCTTAACATGGACAGTTATTTATGAAATAGTAAATAGAACTGAACTTCATGCAATTCTTTTTGTAGAGGTCATGTTTCTTATTTTGGAAATAGTGCTTGGTAAAAAGAAAAAGCAAAGCAATGAAGAAAAAGGTGGGTTGGAGAACAATGAAATCTTTTTAAAATGTGAAGATCTAGAGGGATAAGAAGAAATGGTCTGATGAATGAGTGTTTAACAATATGAAGAATATTTCAGTGAGATTATTTGTATGAGTGATGTGAAGCATCTGGCCTGTACACTGTATAGTACATATGTAGTGCATAGGCAACTCCAGTATCTCATCTATATGCATGTTGAAGTACTACTGAATTCAACTGGAGTTGCATATGCACTACAATGACAGATTATGGCCTCCACAGCTTTTCTATATTTGTACTATACAGTGTGTGGGCCAGATGCCTCATATCACTCATGTAAATAATCTTATTGAAATGTTACTCATATTGCCAATCATTAATTCATCAGACCTTCTCTTCTTATCCCTTCCCCTCTTCACATTTAAAATAGATTTCTTTTGTTTCAAGGAAATCTTCATGTTTGAACAGAATATTTTTATGGTTGGTAAAAATACTACAAAGAGAGTTCCTTGTCATATTTTATTTCCATTCTTTCAAGGTCAGAATATAACTGTATGTTCCATTTATATTTCTAAATATAAAAAAACATCTCTCTGAAACTTTTATTTTTAATATATGGATTTCTGACTACTTACAGTCAAAGGCATACCACAAAGTGGTGTTTCTCTGTGTGCCATAAGGAAAAACACAGGAATACTCCAACCACTTCAAGAGAGGTGTCTTGTATTCATGGTGTTCTTGACTAATTTTCCTGATCCTATATCATGAGGACTCACACAGTATTGGAGTGAAATGTGATGTTCAGCATCAAAAAAGACTAAAATGTAAAGTACAAACAGCCATGTCTTGACCACTCAGTGCTTCTGTGATATGAGCAAGCCTACAGGCTTCACGAGACTTATTCCAGGTGACACTCCGTGTGCACATACATACTCAGGATTTCTCCCAAAAACACTTGAGATAAGATGAGACATAAAATATTGTCTGTATGAGTAAAATTTACAGCCAAGTGCATCTACAGGATTTTGTCATTAATAATGCCTTTACATTCAAGGGAGTGAGTCTCTGGATCATCAATATAATAAGTAAAAAAAATCTTTCTAACCTTCTTTGCACAGGGAACTTCTTTTTTAACATAGTATTTATAATAGAGATTTGTACTTGCATTCAACTTTTATTTCATCCATTAGATCTTGATAATTTTCTACACTGGCAATACAGGAAATAGAAGAGTTTTAATAATAACCATAAGAAATGGAAAAAAAGACTTAGAGTAATGGAAGGAGTCTGTACTGAGTCTGTATATTGTCCAGAAAATATCACAACTTGGAAGAGTTTCCTGAAGACATAATTAGGTTTCAAAAATAGTGTAGGACTAAGTGAATTTCTTAATTAAAATCCAATTATTGGAATATTTCATGATGACCACTCTAGGGATTATCAGCTGACAGCAACACTTGTTGGAATAATAAAACTTGATAACAAAAGTTTTATTAGAATTTCTGTGTTGATGTGTATGGGTTTTAATTGCAAAATAACACATCAGCTGGGAAGGCTTCATACAAGAGAGTTAAATATGAGAGTTAAATTGTCTTGAAGTAGGAAATGATGTGGGAAAGAGACTGCCAGTAGAGTTGTCTTTTCTTTCAGTGTGATGATGATGAAGAAAACCTGAAGGGTTCTTGAGCTGCCTGCACAGCCAGAGGAAGGAGGGATGCTTACAGCCCAGGGCACTGTCAGAGCAGCTGCCCTTGGGCTCCTGGGAGCAGCTTGCTCTTCAAGGCTTGAGTCAGAGAGCTGCAACAAACCCTGAATGTTCAGGGCAGAAGGGCACTCCACAGAGAATGAGGAAGTATGGCAAAACATCACCCCAAAAGCCTGCCAGGGTAGGACATCCTGGCCCTACATCCTATGTGCCAAAACGACTTCGTGGAGCCACACTTTATGAAGCAGGGTAGGGAACTATTCTCCATTCACTGTACTGTAAACAGGAATAAACTCTCTGATGCAATGTTATGGTTGCTAAAAGCAGATCTCCCGGTATCTTTCGCTCTGCCTTTTTTTCTCATTCATATTGGTTCTATACACTGAACAGCAATGTTGCCCTGAAGCCAGAACCTGCTTGTCACTCTACAGATTGACTGCAGCAGCAGCCAGGCAGGTC